TTTTTTTTTTTTTTTGAATTTTGAGTCTTGAACCCGTAAACCCGGCCCGGACCGGGCCCGGCCCGCCGGGTTTTTTTATTACCGAAAAGGCCCGGAACCGGCCCGCTAGATGTCCGGTTCCGGTTTGAAAACCGGCTTCTCCGGGCCGGGTCCGGTTCGGGCCGGGCCGGGTTCGGTCCAGGTCCAGGCCGGTTCGGCGGGCCGGTTCGACCCTTGGACATGTCTATTCTTGTCATATTGCTGTGAATTTTTAAAATGTTGTTCCTCTGATATGTGTTGTCATTGTGTATAGATTTGTAATTTTTGGAATTCATTTGCTGTGGGAAATGTTTATTTGAATGTTGCTGCTGAAATTTGTTTAAAACATGAAAAATCAGCCTCTTGCTGAAAATGGTTCAAACTCAGTTTATATGCTCATTAGACATCTTTATATGTGACATAAAAATTCCATATTTTATTGAATTCATGTTGATAAGTTTTTGATAAAATCCTGATTTCTGCTGAATCCTGCAACAATTGTTATAAATCGTGTGTTCATTGTTTTTAAATGGAAAATTTATATTTTGATCCTCACATGCTGTAGTTGTTCATTTAAAACTTTTAGGACTTAAATCGTTCTTTAGGTCAGGTTTTAATTTCATGCTTGTTTTTGCTGATATATTGTTTTAATTTTATAAAATCACATGTGTAAGTGTTAAGGCTGATACTTGGTGGTTTTAATGTATTCAGTGAGCTCTTTCATGTATCCAAATTTCGAAGCATAATTCATCCATTTGCCTGTTCAAATAGAAAATGTTGTTTACTTGTCAATTTGCTCCAAATATTGGTTGGATAGGCTAACTTTTGAACTTTGGCATGATTTTTAATATATGATGTCCTCTTGGCATGTTTTACAAGTGATGTGAGTTTCATGTTAAGTGACTGAGTATATAATGAGATGGCTTTTTATGTGTCTATATGTGTAGTGTTGAGACCATTGGATTAAATTACAAGTTGGGGTTATTATGTACGTGTTATGTGAAGTGAACCATGTTGATTGTGTTAAAGTCTTGATAAATAATGTTCAATGGCTGGAACACCTTGTTAATGATGTATATGTGTGATTAAAATGCTGACTTGGTGATATGATATGAGTTGGGGCATCATGTGATAAGAATTTATGTTGTTTATGTGTTCGTCTCTTCGGTTTATTGTTAAAACTGAAGGATAGTAGTTATTTTCGTGGAAACCCAGGAGTTTAGAGTGCCTCAATGTGTCCTTGGAATGGTAGAAAAAGCCTCAGGTCATTTCGATGGGTATTTCATGAGTTATGAATTTTTAAAAATGATCGTGCTGCTGAATTTTGTGAAAATCATGATAAATTGAATACTCAGCCAAATTACTTGAAATTTTATATGTTGACCCATATGATGTTGAAGTATGTTGTTCTAAATTCTCAGATTAAATCTCCTCCTGTAGCTATGTGAAATGTTGAATTTAAGTTCTGGTCAAAATCATTGATCAGGTGTATATGTATATTTAGAGGTATTCTATAATGTGGTAAAGTTTCATTGAAAATGGCCGAGTACTTTTTGAAAAGATCCGGTAGTTATCAATTCTAGTTTGTTTTTCCGGCAGCACCAAACCGAGTCTCGTTTTGGATATTTTTTCGACTTGGTTAACTTCGCTTTACTAATCACTATGTTTTGCATGATTTACGTGTTCTAATTGATGTTTATATGATTTATCGAGTCTAGACGATTAGTCGTAAGTTCTAAACTCCATTAGGAATTTCCACGAACCACTTAGCTGATACGGTTTCGGCTAAGTGAATGTTATTGTTTGTGTTCTAAGTGTTGAGATAGTTATTGATAGGACTATCATGATAATTGTAGGTGTCTGACGAGCCGAGCTTTCTGCCTACACGTGAATTTTGTGCTATCTCCTGCTCTTGTCCAGGTGGGTTCGTTATTCTAAAACTATCTACGCCATATGTGTTTAAGTGTTTGGATGGTATGATCAATGTATGCATGTGAACCATGTGGCCTATCGATGTGAGTTGTCATGGTCGTCGGTACGGCTGTCCCCGTCGAGTTACGGTACGGTTACCCTTGCGAGGCAAGTCTCCTTAAGTCCTAATAAAAGACCGTGTCCTTGCGTGGCACGCACTCCCATCGTTAGGGTTTATGCATCCCCTTTCCACGACTAATGATAGATGTGCACATGAGTGAGATTGTTGTGTTATTGATAGAAGATGAGACATGATGATGATTGATTTATATTCATGTTGTGACCATACCATCTTAACATTTTATTGTTTATGTGCATAGTGGTGAGCACTACGGTTTCCATTTGTGCTTACTCCCACCTGTCTCTTCACGGATGTAGGTTAAGCAGGTGGCGGATGACGAGGCAAGAGAGTGGGTGGTCATATAGTTACCTTTGCTTCCACAATTTATTAACTCATGATTTATGAGACATGCTGAAATGTTTTCGAACATATGTTTTGGATTGTTGAATTTGGATATTCATGATGCGTGTTTTATTGAATATCATGTTTATTTTTATTAGTCATGTTGTATGATTAAGCTAAATATCTTGTGAGATGTTTTGAAATGGATTAATGAAAACCTTGTAAAAATCGGGTTTATGAATCCCCGTGAGTCCAGATAAGACTTGGACTATGTCATTGGTTTGAATAATGCCCATGATTTCGAAAATGTTTAATTTTTTTGGAAAGTCCGGTATTTCTTTAAAATCAAAGTGGGCGTTACAGTTCGGTATCTGAGCGAGGTGATGTTTCTATAGACTGCTCTATGTGATTATGTGACTTTGTGACCTTGTATGTGACCACTCGTCTTCGTCATGCCGCACTGCTCCAAGGGTATGTCTTATATAAGTAATAATGAGATTACTTATAATATGATTTGTGTATATGCTTTCGCATTAGTAGCAATGAAACTATTTGCGATGTGCATTGATATATATATATATATAGAGAGAGAGAGAGAGAGGAAGAGAGAGAGACAGAAGGGATCATATGAGAATGAGGGATAGTGAAAGAAATGAGAATGAATCTAGTCCATTGGATACATCATATCGATAGTTAAGATGACGTCAAAGATTAATAATCCCAGTCAAATCATGATGGCAGTCTTGTAATTATGTGATAAATATTGATATGTTATGTAAAATTAGAGGGTAGTGGTGTAATTTCCTTCACCTACTAACCACCCTATATATCTCACTGGGGCCCACAAAACCATCTCCCACTTTCTCTCTTCTTCCTCTCTTTTTCACTCACAGACGCACACACATATTTACACACACATCACACGTTCCCGGCCACCGGTTATTCATCGGCCACCGGATATTTTCCGACCACCATGACCACCGCCGCATCACAGCCCGCCGCCGTCGTAACAACGACACCACAGAATTACACACACAGATATTCCCATTCTGAACACCCACACACGCGCAGCACAGTCGATCCCCAACCCATACGCTGACCGCTAACCGGCCAGTAACCCATTGCCCACACGAGCTCTACCGATACAGTCATTTTTGACACCAGCTCCGCCGAAGTTCCGCCGTTGCAGTCGCTTCATCACCAGGTCTATGGTAGACGCCGTCAGGATGGACACCGTCCAGGGTCGCGAAATCAGGCTTCTATCCACCAGACGCCGTCGATATGTAAGCTGGAGTCTCGAGGCGTCCACCGAGGAACTGCCCTATAATGAGATTTGCAGAGCGTTCGACGAAGTCCGGCTGCAATTCCCTCACCAATCTCGCCACAGTGTCCGGCGACGAAAGGATCGATCATATCCCAGCATGGCGGCAGCGAGAACTCTGACGATTCAGTCACCATGAGTTTGGGTGGAGAAGACAAGCGTTGCGTGTTGGACAGTTGGAGTTTTAATTGATTGTGGGGCTTTCAAATGAAAATTAGATAATCTTGGGGGCATATTTTGCAATTTCTCAACTAATATATGTGTATTTTTTATTACTCTAGGCAATTTATAATTTAGTGAAATCAAATTTTACATAAGAATGACACATTAGATGTAAATATTGTGTGTAGATGTGAACTTCAAAAAATAATGTCATATGAATACAAAATTATTAAAAAAATTGATATGTAATTTGTTTTATAAGTGAATGGCGCAATATTGTGTATAAATATACAATGTCAAAACAGTTAATCATAATGAAATATAAAATTTCGAATTTAAATTTTCAAAATAATGAATTATTTTGTCGGTTAACATAAATAGTCAAAATAAGCGACATAAATTATATACTTTATTATAAAAACATGATCAGTATTCATTATTTTATTACTTAATGTATTATATTATTTTTTTATTAAACATATTAGTATATATCTAAACGATATATACTGTGCAATCTAACAGTTATTAAGGTGAAATTCGTTCAATAGTATGGTGCACGGTGTCAGTACGTATTGTGCATATTGAACCAAGCGAACTTTGGTCCTAATCGAATTGAAGATGAACATAAGTAATTGGTTTATTCGCTTTGGTTAAGCGAGTTATTATAAATTATCGAAATAAATGTTATTTATACTAAAATTATATTTAACATCTTAATAATTTCATTTACTATGTTTTATATTATTTTTGGTTAAAAAAGAAAAAAAATATGAGTTCGGTTGGTTTCATTTGCTATTCGGGCGGTCTTATAGTCATGATAAAGTGTAGAGTGTTATTTTTAAAAAGTGCAATATGTTGATGTATAAAGTGCAACATGTTGATGTATAAAGTGCACTACTTTTATTTCGGTATTTTAAAAGGCTTGTTTTCATATGGACAAATGATGTGATAGATGTTAAAATAATATGTAGATCCATTTTTTAGATTTATGTTGTGTGGTATTTTTGGTGCGAACTATTAACGTTAATTGTAGAGTATGATGAAAAAATGTAGCTTGATATTTTATAAAGTGCAACGCGTTGTTTTATAAAGTGAGACATGTTGTTTTATAAAGTGCAACGCGTTATTCTGTAAAGTCCATTAATTTATACGAAATCGGATAAATTGTATGTATTAAAAAACTAGTTTTAATAGATAAAATTGTACATCGAATTAACCTAAATTCACAAAATACTTATTTTTTTGTAATTTTGTAATTACTTAATCAATTATTGGAACAAATTACTAAATGAATTACCTATATTATTCCAGGGATTAACAGAATTAACTTAAATATATAAATGATTTACTATTTATAAATTAATATCATCTCGTATTAGTAAACATTTTAATATTTGTGAAAAATATATATTTTTTTAAGGTAATGTTCATCCTCATACGTAATAATGTGCATTCGTTCTGACACTGTAGTGAAATATGATGATCAATAATGTGCATCTCGTTTAGTAACATTGTGCATTCGATCGTGTATATAGATATATCTAGTATTTATACGTTTTATTTGATATTTTTTATATTATTGTTTGTTGAAAACAACTAATATATACAATTATTATTATTATTATTATTATTATTATTATTATTATTATGTAAATATAAAGTAATAATTTTCTTGTATATATATATATTTAGATAAAATATAAAATAATAAATTTAATTTGATATCTTTTATATAACATTTTTTATATATTTTCTAGAAAATTCAGATTTAGCCCATGGGTTAAATTGTCATTTAACCAAAAGTTGTTAAATTGCAATTAGGTCCCTATCAAATCCCAAATTCTCAAAATCAAAAAATCCTTCCATAGTTGCAGGCATGATCGTTCTCTATAATTTCAGAGTGATCATCCCCTTTCACCGTCAAATTCGCCGCCCTTCTCCACGCTTGATATTGGAGCTATCGAAATTATCCAGCCGGAGGGCCGAGAATTTGGTCAGGATCCCCGAGATTTGTGTGGTCCGCATTCACGGCGGGGATGGCTTTTCCGGCAGATTCCCGATGGTTTCGACATCGCCGATCTGATGGAGCTGCCAGAGGCCACTTCTGAAGTGCCTAACTCCCAAAAGGCCAAAACACGTTTCATTCTTCTACGGCCACTTCAACCTCGCCCTTGCCGTCGTGAATTGCCCGGTATAGGATGACTCGCGATGCCAGCCAACAAAAAAACCATGGCTGCGCACGTTCGACTGATTTTGTCTGAAATCGGCTAGAAAAAGCTTAAATCGGTCAGCCATGGCGGACGGAATGCGGGCTATGGAGCGGAAGAAAAATAGGAGGATCCCTGCGGCATTCGAATGAGCTTGGGCCGATTGTTGCAAAGATCACGGCGGCACTAGACGGAGACGACCGGCGCGATTGGCAGAGGAGTCTGGCTGCGGCGAGCTTTTGTGACTGCGGAGAAGCCGGAAGGAAGAGTTGCAATCGGTGATGTGTGGCGGAGTCAGGGTGGATGTCCGCCGGCGACGTTAGGCGGAGCCGGCACTAGTAGAAAAAACACTTTTCACATCGGCAGTTTACATCGGTTTTGTCAAAACCGATGTAAAAAACATTTTTCACATCAGATGTTGACATCGGTTTTGCCGAAACCGATGTCAACAATATAAAATTTCAGTTTGGAACATCGGTTCTTAGACAACCGATGTGAACGAGTAGCTGGGCGACACTTATTACATCGGTTTTATGCGGAACCGATGTAAAAAAAATTAATTTACGGCCCAAAAAAAAATATAATGTTCGAGCAACATCGGTTCTTAGACAACCGATGTGAACGAGTAGCTGGACGACACTTATTACATCGGTTTTATGCGGAACCGATGTAAAAAAAATTAATTTCAAGCATCGGTTAAAATAACCGATGTGAATACGGCCCAAAAAAAAAAATTAATGTTCTAGCATCGGTTAAATAAACCGATGTGAATTCGGCACGGGCTAAATTAATGTGCATCAGTTTAGAAAAACCGATGTGAGGACGTCCAAATTTGATGTGCGCGCGAAACTGCCAAACATAAATCTTAAGCCCAAGCCCGTTCATCTTCTGAAAAACGATTAAACACAAAACCCTCCGCCAATTTCACCTTAAAGTTCGTCGCTCTCAAACCCTCCACCGTCGCTCTCAAAACCCTTCACCGTCGTCCTCAAAATCCTTCACCGTCAGCAACGATTGTGCTGCAGGTTTTCCCCGGCATTGAAACCATTGAGCTTCCAATGCTTAAAGGCACGCTAGCAGGTCAAAAGCAAGTGAATCGTGGTTTTTTGTGAAATTTATCTCCCATCCTGTAAGTTATATTTGCTTTCTTTCGTGCGTTTCTGTTAGTAGTCTTAAACAATTGTTGCTCTCTTTCCTTTTCTGCCTCGTCTCAGAATAGCTTTAGTTATTTGGACATTCAGTCCTCTGTTTTTCCCATTCCATAGATCTCCAATTGGACGTGTCTGCATTGTGGAGACGTGCCTTTTCAAAATACTTCACTTTATTTGGTTTCCCTTTGTTATTTGAGGAACTCTTCAAATTAAATGCTGTTCTCCACTATTACAACAAGTTTGGTAAAAATTTATGTTATTAAAATATAATCCTTCACCTCAATTTATGTTATTAAAAATTTATGTTATTTGAGGAACGACGCCCTTCTGCTCTCACCGACAGCAACGACGTGGCTGAGACTAGCCGCTGAGAAGCTGGCGTTCACACAAGCTTGAAAACCGACGACCTTTTAGTTCTCGAGCATCCCTCAATCTGTCCGTCCGGAGCCATTAAATCCTGCGGGCTCGTCGCCAGTCTTTCCGGCGAACACAGCAGATCTCCGAGCAACGTGCATCACGTTCGTCGAAGTATTCCCACTGTCAGCCCCAATTAAACCTCAGAACCGTTGACGAGCAATTTTCGAGTTCCGTTCGTTCGGCCCGATAGTCCGTTCCATTTTCAGATTTTCTTGTAAATTCCCGAAGACGGGTAATCTATTTCAAACCTTCTCGTTATAATTCTGGGCTCATTTAGATTCGTTGATTCTTGCGTGTTTTGATGATTCATTGATGATATCGTGCTCGTTTATTCGTTGGTTATTGACTCGTATAATCGTTGTGTTCGTCGGATAAACACTTGGTTAATTAAATATCCTTTATGTGTTGGTTTTGCTGAGCCTGACTGAGATGTTTTTATATGGAGAATTGTTAAACCATTTTCATCCATCGGTCATTTGCATTTATCGTCTAAGTTAAAACTCAAAAGCGAATCGTTTTCGTAACTATAACGCTAGAGGTATAAAATGTGACCACAAGCTATAATAATAATAATAATAATAATAATAATAATAATAATAATAATAATAATAATTATAATAATGTGAACGTATTTCACTATAAGCTAGAAAAAATGGAAATTAATCTAACCTGACCTCATTTTTAAATAAACCTGAATTCATCTAGCCTGCCTCATTGTTTAAATTAATCACTAATAAATGTATGTACTTCACTGTAAGTTAGAAAAAATGGAAATTAACACTTCATTTTTTAATAAATTGGAATTGATCTAACCTGACCTCATTGTTTAAATAGGCAAAGGTATATATATTTCTCTGAGCTTCTTCTCACATGTTTAAGAGCTCATGTGGTCCTTACTCTTGCTTCGTTATTATTTTTAAATACCCTTAGATGAAATAATGAATTTCATGGGGTCCTTGATCTTGCTTGGTTATTTTTTTAAATACCCTTAGATAAATTTTTTTTTAAAATTTGTGGGGGTAAATAAAATTGTTTGGTGTGGTTGAATTGAAAGGAAACATGATTTTCTTGAGGTTTAGTTCAATAAAAAAAATC